TCGTTCATTTATATGTATATCAATTATATAATCTAAATATTTCTATTTAAGAATTTAATTCCTAATCTATTTTTGGAGTTTTATTTAAATTTAGATCAAAGATGAATGAGTGATAAAACTGATTGAATCCTTATTTGTTAATATTTGGCTATTTATACCAACCATTGAATCGAAATCAATAAAATGATAGAAATATAAATTATGGTGAAATTTATTTATATTTTATTAATCAAAGCAAATGAAGTGTAGTTTTGTAATAATTATTGTATTTATAATAACAGTATTACGAAGACTTATTAGTGAATACTTGAATGACTTTTGATTTTTTCATTTGAAGCACAAAACAGTTGTCATAAAATGCATGAACGCGTATAATAAACCAGTAAGGCAATGTTTTTATGATCTAATCGTCATTTTGTAGTTTTCATATGATTTGAAGACCAGAATTACATTACGAAAGTGCTATAAATTGTCGTTTAGATGTGCTCTTTGAATGTCTCCTTTTAATGTTTGCCTTATTTTCCAACTTTTACACTCATATTATATTCACTGTTTTCCTATCAAATACTTCTCGATTTTATTTTGGGCTAATTTTGTAAACACATTTCCTTCAAATCATTAATTCTTTATTCAAACATATTCTACACATTTCTATATAAAAACGACAGACTTTTGGGTCAACACTTAAACTCTTCCAAAAGAGCCAAAAGTTTTTTTAATCAAATGATTTACGAATTTATCTCATCCTCCAAACGAAAGTGAGTCAAAGATAAATAAATTATAAGCATTTAATTAAAGGCTAAACTTGCGTCAACACTTGATTTGAATCCAACATTTTTTACAAATTTTGGTTTACTATACGAAAGAATGCAAAAACTTCAGGTCTTTCTTATTTTCTTATTATTTTTATATATATTTTATTTAAATAAATATTTTATGTTATTTTCCTTTTAAACAAATAGTATATTTAAAAAATACTCTTTGTTTAAAAAGACAAATAAATCTAACTTATATATATAACATATTTGCTAACATTTATTTTTAAACTTTATATCTTATATTGATAATTAAGCTTGATATAATTAAGTTTAAATAGAGTGATTTAGTTCATATTTGACCAATTTAATGTAATCGCGGTAATTTGTATTGATTTAATTTTCATTGTGTTGTCAAACATAATTCCCAAACTTTTAGTAATAGAATAATAAGAAAAATAAATTTAGAGTTTTATTGAGTTGACTATAATTTGATAAAACAATGGTTTGTCTCAATTGTCTCATCGATCGCAACCGCATTTGCACTCATTTTCCATTTGATTGTGTTTAGCCTTCGGTTAGATTTGAGTTTATTTTCTCTTTAAAACCCAATCGACTACAATGTTTACTAATATTTATACTATAATTGCATTTAGTTTGTAATGCTTTAACAGTTTTTCATATTCTTTGTTTGAACATCTAAACACTAACACTTTTATTAAGTTATTATTTTAGGCGATTTGCTAAATATATGTCATAACAGTGTTTATATTGAGTTAGAATAACAACTTTTTATAAATTATTTCATTTTCTAAATCAATTAGACTAAAAAATAATTGTTTGTTAAAAGATTTTTATTTTCTTACTTTTAATATTTACATATTTCAAATATATTAATTATTTAAACATATAAATATACTTTAATCATTATTTAATTAACTAATTTAATATAATATATTATAATTTTAGTTATCGGTATTTGCTTTAGATTTTATTTCATAATTTATAATAATGTCAGAATTTAGAAATTATTTTTATTCTTTTAATATTATTTAATTAAAATTGGAGTATTATTAATTGTCAAAAATGATACAAATTATTAAATCCTATGAACTTATACCATCAAATTTTTATATTATATTTTAAATTGTGAATACCACACTTTTACACACACATAATATAAATGACTTTTAATCTACTATTTATATATTCATACTTGTATAGTCTATATTTTATATAGCTTAATTTTAATTTATATACCTATTTGGGGTCAACATATTATGTAAATACTTTATAATACAAAATAATCTATAAACCATATTTAAATAAATTGTTTAAGACATGGATTCTTATTAAATGAATATTATCTGATATAAGTTTCCATATTTTAAGTAAGAATATATTTTCTATAGAAATTGATCAAATATGACATATGTTTCAATATGTAGTGTTAGTTTGAATGAAAGACGATTTATTCATTAGATGCATATCTGGGGCGCAATTATGTGTCACAAACATCGCCTGTAATGTTAGCCCAAACGCCCTAACCTTTGATATTCATTATGAGAGACATCTTAAAAGGTTTTCATTACAAATCAATGCCTCAATTCATTTCTAAAAATGCATTTCCTCTCTCCTAATGATCCGATTCGTCATTTTTCATCCAAATCTTTGCTTCAATTGCATTCAATTCATTCCTATAATAATTGTCCGAAAGTTTTGTCCGAATCCGCGAGTTCTTGAGATTAAATTCTTGATTCACATAACTGTTTGAAATAGCACTGAATTACACCATAAGCTACCACTGCTTTCAATTAGTGTATTTCACATGTCATTCAATAATCATTAGATGTGTTAACAACTCATTCATATTTACTTTCATTACGTTTCACACAAATATTAGTCACATTTGTCTAAATCTGGTCATTATTTTTGATATTTGATTCGTCAAAACATGTAATTAATTTGATTTGAAATATAAATATTTGTGTTGAGATATCATTGATTTGTTGCGAGGAATCGTATAATGAAATAAACTTCAATACAATTGGTGTGAAGAATATATAAGAATTGATGAAATTCTCGATTCTTGTAGTTCTGGTCTTTCATTAGTTAATCGAAATTTGAAAAATTTATTGCTTGACGTCATCTCCCATTTCAAGCATTTGTTTCATACGGAAAGTTATTTCTCTTGTTTTAACATTTAATGCACAAAATTAGTAAACGTTTTTTAATTAAAGCACTGATTGTGAGATGCATTTAACGTTAGAATATTTGGATGTATTTTCATTCTTTCTCAACATTTCTAAATCAGATGCAAATGTAATAATTTTGTGAAAATCATTTCAAATGTCATTTACAAGCTCTCCGACAAAAAGCCAAAACCTGTAAATTCTGATAAAGTTTTTATAACAACTTATTCAATGAAAGATTTATTTGGTTTGACGTGAAATTGTTTTTAACGAAACTTTATATTTAAGTTGTTTTTGAAATTACAAAACAAAGAAAAATCAATTCTTTAAACATTCAAATATAATATAAATTCTTTGGTTGCGCTCAAAATAATTCACTTAAAAATATTACCACAGATTTAATAAACTTTGCTTTTGTAATAGTGATATGAATACTATAATATAGTAGAGTATAATATTATTATGTTCACAAATATCATGTTTACTCAAGTATGAAATTATATATCTAATGGATGAATTTTAAAACGAAATTTAAAATAATTCTTAATATATCATATTATCATAACCTAAATATTTCTTTAAATATTATATAATGTAAATTTTGAGATCATAATATATTACAGTATTAGATAGTTTGCTTATATTAGTATTAGTAATTTGTTGGATTTAGAAATGTTCAGATTATAATATCGGTATCGTTATACCATTAATTTTATATTGTTAATTATAGTTTTAATTATTTCTACTTTATATTATACATATATTATATTCTTGTTTTATCACTTTTAATATTTTTAAACTTATAATTCTTTGGGTTTCTTTACAGAATTCAAGAGTAAATGCCATAAAATTTGACAAAATGTGCCTTAATTTCTCTAATGTTAAAGTGAGTAAAATCTAATTATTACATTATTTATTATATATTTGATTTGATATAAGAAATTCTAATCATATGAATTGGATATAAATTGCTTTTTTAACTAGAGCTTTATTTTTTTATAACAACCATTATAACGGTCATAAAGTTTTATCTATCTACTAATACTTATATCCTTAAATTGTTTGTTAAATTAATTCGCAATAAAATATTTTTAATAACTGATATACATTAAGTTAAACAAATACTTATATATCGTATAAGAATTATTGTTTAATGTTTACAAAAATTATTTATCAATTTACACGTATACAATTTACATGTATATCATACAGTATATTCAAATGATTTATTGTATTTTATAAATAAGTGATTTAGCATTATAATTTTATCTTTTTCATAGTTATAACTTATAAGTATTATGGTTTTGTCGATAAAGTTAGTATTATAATCATTAGCATATCAATACAAATATTGTTGGGTTTTATGTGAAATGTTATGACAGAAAAAATATTGTACATATTTGTATACTTTACTGTATATGTATTTATTGTATGTATACTTAAAACATGAAGTGTTTTATCCCTATTTCGGTCCAAAAGATCCGAAGGCAGTAATGAGTGAATTGTGTTTTGTTAGCAAACAATACAATACAGTAAGTGATAGCACTTGACTACCCCTAGGATTTAGGAAAATATCACTAATTGTTTGTAAATTAATTACTCGCATGTAAAACACTTGAGAATTAGGTCTTAATTTATTAAATTAAATAATTCTTATATTGAAAACAAAAACACATTTAAAACCAATTATGTTTTATAATTTATGAATTAATAATTAAATTTTGGGTAAAATTAATGATTTGTATGCGAAGAAGAGATTAATTAATCATTAAATGGTTGATGTATTGCAAGACATAGTGTTTGTGCTGTTTGTTCAGTCAATTCTCCAAAGCTTTATATAAATGTAAATTCATATAACGTTTGACAGTTTGGGTTGAATTGAAAGCAGTATACATTTGAATTGACGTCAATAGTTAGCTACTATTTAATACAGAAAATTTCTTAGTTTTATTATCATTACGAATATATAATTAGCGAATAGAGAAAGTGTGCTATCAATGCAAAGTAATGTTATTGATTGCAATAATTGATTAATTGCTTGTTTTTCATTCAGGTACTATTGGTTTTTGACAAACCGGACGCTCAAAGCGATGCTCTGAAATGGGCGGCAGAGAGACTATCATTTGATACACATTTGGTCCATAATTGTGAGTCAGCTCTGGATAGATATGAGGAGGAAAGGCATCATCTCGTGATTATAGACTCGCGGCAGTCGTCGCATATGTTGGACTCGTCAACGCTATGCAGGTATACATACATTGCTATCAATGCATACAAACCTACATATCTATGCATTTATTTCTCGTATATTTCTATTGAAATTCACGGCAAATTCAATCTCTTTTCTACTCATAATATTATTTTCATCTCAAATTCACGGCAGCATTGAATCAAATAAACTATTCATGAGCTTTACATAGAACTGGATCTATTGTGTTGACTGTCTATATGTAAACTCAAAATTATTGTGCAAAATATAATCACACATTTTATTTTCTCCAAACTTCTCTCATATTATGCTTATTCGCTGTTTTATCAGCCGTTCAACACATTTCCAAATTAATAAATGAACTCAAACTGAGCTCTCATTCATCTCACTGTTTGAGTTGGAAATAAGATTTCAATCAATACTTTTTGTGCTCTAAATGAGTGCCTCATATACAAGAATCTGTGCCTTTAGTCAAACAATATCTCCCTTTAATTCAGGAATAACAGCAAAAATTATTGATAAGATATCTGTTCAACACTTGAGAACTACCGACTTCTTAATCATATTCTCTCCCAATTGATCCCTTAGTATTAATATTAATACATTTTAGTGACAAATATATTAAATCTCTTATATTAGGGAAAAAGATAAAAAAAATAATTTCGTGTAAATATTGCTTAATATGTTGTACTCTTGTTTCTGATTTACAAAAAAAGGTTTACAGAAAGTGATTATAAGTCAGTACAAAATCTTAGCCGATACTTATCCGGATCTTTTAATATTGATTTGTTTGACTTGGAATTACTTGTGGCGCCAAAACACATTCAATGCCCTATTCGGCACTCAAACTCATAATCAGTGTCTCAAACATGTATTCAATCATAATTTGATTGAGAAAATTGTTATCTCACATAATTCATGTATAACTCATTAGATCTGTGAGAATGAATACAATTATGGTATAAATCACTTCATTTAACAGATATGAGTAACAATAAAATACTAAATAATAACTGAATTCTGGGAATCACTTGATTTGATTCCGTAAGAAAAGTAATCAAATATCAATAGACGGATATTTATGTCATGTCTATCATTACAATGATGTGAATTTCTAATAAATTATTTCACACAATACATGAGTTTAAAATTATATTATATTATATAATATTTATCATACAGAATATTTACAAATTTTACTAGGTTAATTGGATTAAAGTTTACTTGCACTATATTTAGAAATTATTGTCTCCAACAGCAGTTGTAAAATTAATACTGTCTAAGTATTTGTGTTAAAATAAACTATTGTTATAAAATAGCAGTGTAGCATTAGGCTTTATGATTAATTTCTCAAAATGATATAAATAATAATAATAATGTGTTCATAGAATGTAGAATTTATTAGATTATTGTCACGAATAAGTTTAATATAGATTAAAATTATAGTCTTATAAGATTTAGAGGCTTTAGATAAAATAATGTGATTTTCTCACATTGTTAATTGAACATTTTTTGTGTTTAAATCAAATTTATAATTATTGTATTTTAATTTATTTTTCCGTTATCTTATTACACTGGAAGTATTTTTAGTTATTTGTAATCAAATGGGAAAAGTTAATGTCTGAGTAGAGGTACCATTAAATTCCTCTGTGAATCACTTAATGATGAATTTATCAAACAATTTGTTGATTGACTTTAAATCTAATCAATTTAATAGAAAGGTGTAAATGTGAGACAGTAATGAGTTTATAAGAAATTATAAATTTTACATGAAGTCCAATAAAATACTAATAGATCTAGATTAGTTTCTAAATCTTGTTTTGCAATATTAATAATTATATAAATTACTTAAAATATCAACATAGTGAATTTTAAATATTTAATACCGGTAATATCTTTCTGATTCTTATAAAATGTTTACTTGATGCAGTACTGTATAATAATGTATTCAGTTTACATTTTATAATACTGTATTAGTTTTACAAAATTATTACTGACTTAATTGTTACAAACTTGTTAATACGGTAGTTTTATTTAAATTTATATTTATGTAAATTATTATTTTTTCCCGGCATGACTATTTTATAGTACTAACATCATATTGTGTCTATTTTTACGACATATTATTTACTTAAAGGTGACAAACATTTATCTAATCATTTGATAATCAATAATATCTCACAAAAGTTGTAAATATTCTTTAAACACATTTTATAATTAATGTTTCATAGTGTAAGCTCTAACTAATACAGTTTCTATCTAATACAGTATAATGAATTCTATAGATTAATATTTGTGATTAATTAGTAAACTGTATTCAATTATTAACTGTTTATACATACATATGTATACTGTATTTAATAGAGTTTGAGTCTATTTATAAAGAATTGAGTTAGAATTGTGTTTCAAATAAATGTACATTTTGTGCAAAAGTCTAGAATAATATTTGGAGATTTGATATATTAATTAAGGGAAATTAAACTGACATTTATATTCACGCAATGGTTTCGCATTTGTCTATTGATTTTAATAAAAATGAGTTTTACATGATTTTTAGTTCTGTATATTTAGTGCATTAGTCGAGTGGAGAGCTTATCGATCGGAAGTCAGGTCTCGAGACTTTTAACTCAAAAACATAGTTATGATCTAAAATATTGAGGATTTAGATTACCTTATATAAAATGACTGAATAGCCAATGAACTTATTTTAGTGAATCTCAAATTGTATTACCATTTCTTTTTTATTTGTGTCTTATTTTCCATTTTGATTAAAGCTATCGTTTCACATTTTAACGAAAATCTTAAATCCATTTATTTATGACTACAAAGTATAATATTTTCTATATTAATATAATAATAGTCTAGAAATGTATGCAAACTTAGGCGTCAGCTCATCCTTAAAATTGGATTACGATTTCAAATATCGACTCTTAATATATAATATTATTACGAAAATTGTCTCAAATATGAGAACTTCAATGCTATCTACAGGCTATGTAATAAATTCTTAATATATTTACAATGCTATTAAATATTTCACTTATTTACACAATTTGCCAAAATTTCATACAGTATTTTATAAAATACTATAAATTATAGTTTTCTTTTTAAATGCAGAATATTCAAAATGTAGACTTTACATACAAAGTTTAGTTTAATATGACATAAAAATTTAAAAATATTAATGCTAATGTTATTATGGTTATTTATTAGAGTATATCTCGTATTATTTGACCAACAAATAAATTAGTGAACAAATATAATACGAGTTTCTTTTGAATAGATTTTTAGTTGTATTCACTAGGAGTTTGTCAATTAAGAGATACATTATTTGTATCAACGCTTGGATTAATTCTATAAGAAGTCATACAATCATACAATTAATACAATGAGACGAATAGGAGATGAATTGATGCGAATTATATCCAATCAATTCAATCAAATGTGATTGAGATCTGCTTTCTATCTAATCAGTGAAACTCGAGTTATAAACATTGATTTGGTTTAAAAGTGTATAAATAGCACAGGTTTCATTTTATCAGTCGAATGAGTTATACATTTTATTATACATATTTATAAGTTATTTTATGATATTGTTGGTGATAAAACTTTAGAATATTGATCTACTAACATTAACATTAAGTTGATGTGTAAACTTTATATTTAAATGTATTTATTAACTTATAACCAAAAAATATATGAAATTCTTTATAAGATTGCAAATACTTAACGTACAATACAGTATCTAACGTAAACTGTTATATTATGTAATATATAATATATTGTAAATGCAATGTTCAATTATTTTCAATTATTTTACGGCTCCCGAAAGCGTTTAATTATTGATTTAGTATTTCTTAAATGATAGCAAAGACTTGTTTTCAATTTCTTTTCTCATCAAATATTCTGTTTTTTCTCCACTCGTATACTCTTAGGTCCATAAGAAATATTAAGGGAAGTGAATACACATGTATTGTAGCCGTTGTTAAGAAAAGTTTAGCCGAAAAAGAAGAGGCCGGCGTTCTCTCCCTTTTGAGAATCGGATTCAATAGAGTGAGTAAACTATCGTATTATTCGTTACGCTTTACTATCTCTAATATATACACTATATTTGCACCAAAATATTATCTAAATTTACTAATATCTATATTAAAATTATTTTTATTTTAATACTTTCTAATAAATTGTATTGGTTAAATATTAAAATTCTTAACATTTTTGTTACGTATAACTATAGTTAACTACTAATTTTGAAAGTATTATATATTAGATCTATATATTTATTCTGTAACAATTTACATGAATAACTACTAATCAATTATAATAAATATTTAAAGTAAATTTGAAATATTAATTGATTGTTAATATGATTTGTTTTGGACAATACAGTGGATGTTAGAGTCGTGTAATCTAGGCGTTTGTCTCAATGAATTAGTCCAATTAGAACATAACGATATCGCAATCCAATGTAAATTAAAAGCAAGTCATGCCTTATTCACTGCACTCGACTCCTGTAAGGATGGTGTGATGGTTACGGGTCCTAATCATGACATACAATACGTGAATCAATCCATTGAAAAGTTATTGGGCTTCCGATACGATGAGATGATCGGTAAAAATGCATACGATTTGCATCGAAGCGATTCATTCAAAACAGATATCGTCGACAGCATTAATATGCATCTAAACAAAGGAAAAGTATGTCATTAGCACATCCAGTCTCTATCCAACCATACAATACCACAATCCACTTCTTAATGACTTTAAAACCCAACTAATGATTAATTATTCTTGACTTTTAGGAATGGGAAGGAACTATACTTCACAGGAGAAAGTCTGGCGAATGTATACCTTTATGGAGCAAAATATCTCCTATTGAAGTGCACAATGGGTAGGATTTCTACATGTGAAACATTTATATAATATTTGTTTTATTAATTAACCATTTAAACAAGCTACATTTATCATTATGATTTCTATAATAGTGTCTAAAACAGAATCCCAATTATTTCCAAGAATAACATAAAATGTTTTGCAAATAAAAGCATTAAAATATTTTCCTTAATATGTTTGCAAATTTTACAAAACTGTCAAAATGTTGTTTAAAGGTTATAAGCATTTACAGTGAAATCTTTTCAATAAAACGTTACTTTTTTAAAAGCAAAATAATAGCAATAATATAATGATTTTCTTATAAATTTAGATTTTATTCCGAATATTTAATATAAAAATATTCACTGTTTTATTGTAATTTAAATTCAGTTGAAACTTGCGTAATAATAGTTTCTATGAGAAAATATATGATTTTTATTTTGATCATAAAATATGTTATGAAAGGAACTCATTCTTAAGATGCCATCAAATGTGTTATTCACTAAAAGGCATTCATTGAGTCTTTGAGACTTATGGTGACAAACGCATACCTAGTCTATCGCTATATTCACTAAATCAGTCACTCATTCGTAGACATCCTTTACGCTAAACTCAGCTTTAAATTCTTGAATGACATGTAATTCATCAATCGTTTAGTTAATAAACGTTTGCGAAATTTTTAGCTTTAAAATCAATAATATGTTAAATCAAAAGCTATTGAATTTTATATATACGAGATATCGGAGATACTCGACTCTATAAATATCATTATATTCTTTGGTCTCATGTCTAGGATTACAGAATTTTTGACAATAAATTTTTATTGTTTAGACAGAGTAGGCATTTCTATATATTATCTTTTATCACTGAAAACTCACTGAATTTATAACATTGGCGACAAAATTATTTAATGTCATTTATTAACTAAAACAATGGGTAACAAGATTAATGAACAGAATATTTTATGCTTTTTTAAAAATTGTTTATTTAATTTAATTAATTTTTTTGCAGAATTCCAGAGCATTTAGTTTTTATAAAAGAATTTCCTTATTATTCACTCGAGAAGATGTTTAGTCCAGACGGAGGTATGAATTCTTTATATTTACTAAAGGTTTATGTGTTTTAGTGTTTCAATTCATTTTAATATTGCCGTATTTGTTTTATTTTGACAATATTAGTGTGTTCTCCCATCAAGTCATTTAATTTGTTTTATCAATACACATAGAAATTTATATTGAGATGAATTAACTCGTTTTTATAAATTAAATAGTACCGGTAGAATAGCTATGACTATGGTATATTATTTGCACATGTCAATTATACAGATTTCTATGTATTTTTTCTTTAGTTTTACGTCAATTTGTTGATAAAAAATAGTAAAACGAAACTCATGAGATAAAATGATGGGTTGGGTTAGCTTTTAACATAAGACTTGTATACAATAGACACACGATATTAATATTACTCAAATTCTATACGATTCTTAACAAAGGTCTAAATTTACAAAAATATATTTACTTTTTGTAAATTGTTCATTAGTTGTAAAATACGGACTCTGGTTAGTTAGTAATAGTCATATGAATTGAAAAACAAAATAATGCATTGACTTAAATAAAGTGCAAATGATTAGACTATACGATAATATTAATGGATATTCATTTACTACATGTTTAGATGTACTTCCTTTCACTTATGGTTCCATAAAAAGCAATAGAAAGGCGTCGTGTGATGTAAAATCCCTGTGCTCTGAAGGTGAGTGCAATCAATTATGTATTATTTATATTTTAATGCTTTTTCTATCCTCCGGTGCCACCAATGCATCATCAGTTGGATTGGGAAGGAGACAGAGTTTCGCCAAATTTCATGCCATGACTATTGAGGCGCCCATTACTAAGGTATGCATCAAATGTCTGGATAATAACTATTTGGATGCAGTTTTTATGACACTAAATATCAATACATTTGTTGACAGAATATACAGAATATAACACATTCTGAGAAACATTAACAGTATTTAAGAGCTTGAGTTCTATCATTGTTTTTGCAATTATTTGATAGCATTTATGGTGTCTAAGAGTCTACGGAATAGAGAAACACAATATTTTTCATTTCCTTTTATTAATGTCTTTCAAACTCAATAAGTTTTCTACATTTTGCGAAATAAACACAAATTCCTATGTTTTTTCAACAAAAGGTAATCAATATATTGATGGCAACCCAAGAGAACAGTCCTGTGTTTGTCGCTCAAGCGCTCGACAAAGTTCTGGAGATCTTAAAGAACTCAGAGCTCTATTGCCCACAATTCGGGAACCAACAGACAAAACCTGATGACCAAACCGCCAATGATCTCGTGTCCGGTCTCATGAGTGTGAGAATCAATACAATCTATACCTATCAATGAATGACAGTTTGACAGCATTTTCTCATGTCTTTGCACCCAATGATTAGAGCGGAACAAAGCAGTCGACAGTCAGGCGTATGTCCCACGAGGCGGCCTCTAACAAGAGTAGTGTCGGAGTCACTCCTCAGACACCGACACAAATGCCGAGCCTTACCAACGCTCCCAATAATATCAAAAACCTATTGGACAGAGACTATGACTGGGGTTTCGATATCATTGAGTTGGAGAGAGTGACACAAAAACGGTATTATAATCACATAATCTGAACAAACACTTTGTTTTAGTGGTCACTAATCCTAATGTCATATATGAATACCAGTCCATTGGTTTGGTTGGGGTTATCAGTGCTGTCGAGCTTCAATGTTTGCCAGACTCTCAAATGCGATGAGTCGACACTTAGGAACTGGCTGACAGTGATTGAGGCTAATTATCGCGACAACCCGTACCACAACTCGACGCACGCGGCGGATGTGATGCAAGCGACCGCTTACTTCATACGAAGGCCGCGATTAAAAGCGGTGTTCGACCCGTTGGATGAGGCCATCTGCTTGTTGGCAGCCATCGTGCACGATGTGGATCACCCTGGCAAAAACAGTGCTTTCCTCTGCAACTCCAACCACGAGTTGGCCATACTTTATAACGACATGTCAGTTGAGACGCAATGTTTGCTTAATTATAATCAATTAAACTCACGTCTCGTTTATTGATCGGCAGATCTGTGTTAGAGAGCCATCACGCGGCGCATGCCTTCCATCTGACCGTCAGTCCCAACTCGGATCAGATCAATATATTCAAGAACTTAGAGCGAGACATATATCGAGACGTCCGCCAATCGATAATAGATATGGTTTTGGCCACAGAAATGACTAAACATTTTGAACACATTTCAAAGTTTATACACGTGTTCACCAAATCCGTGAATATGGATGAGGGCTTCAGTGGCAACGATAACCTCTTGGAAACGGTTCCCGAATCGCCAAATATGATCACATTCTCGACGCCTGAGAACATTGTGCTCATCAAAAGAATGCTCATTAAGTGTGCGGACGTCTCAAACCCCGCCCGACCTCTCAAGTTATGTCAGGTCTGGGCCCAAAGGATAGCCGACGAATATTGTAATCAGGTATACGACTATCATATTTGTGCCCTTTTTAACACTCAATTATCATTATCTCTAACTTCATCTCAATTTCCTTTTTGACGGCTTATAACAACTTGTTTTATGACTTATTTAAAAATATTTATTTTATTATAAATACCTACAAACCTGTTCCCATCACATCTAATGTTCATTTCATGTGACAATGTTTTTTGTCATATCTTTATCCTGGTAAAACATTCAATGTATTCATAAAATTACTTAGGAATCTTCCGACCCGTACAGAGGTTTCCAATTTAATCTCTACCTGAAATCTCTAACATTTATATGAAGTATGTGAATGTTGAATCCATAACATTTTTTGGCATTTATTTTACAAAATGTTTTTCTCTTAATTATATTTAAATGTTATTTTTATTGTTAGATAAAACATAAAAAGAAATTATTATGTATGTAAACACCATGCTTAAATCTATACAGTATAAATGGACATAACTAGTAACCCAGATGTCATATTTGCATTCTACATTCTTCTTTATTATGAATTCAACATAAAATCACTACAAATATAGTATAGAATATGTAATAGAGCTTAGTTTGAGCCCAATTCAGAAGTACGGCAGTTGTTGTGCTGTATTGAAAGCAAACCATTATATTGTTTGTTAACAAATGCCTAAAAACTACAAAAAAGTCAATTTTGAATCAAACAATTACTTCCGATTCAATCACTTCTGTTATATTCAGCCATCAATTTGGTTTAGACAACACATTTGGCCATTCATTTCAAACTCAAAACTAATAAACTATGAATGAATCGAATATAAAAGTTGTGTTGGATTCACATTTTGAATATAAATATTTTCATCATTAAACCAAATGTGAAATTCATGTGAAATGAAATGTGAATATTTTAGAGAATATTCTTTAACATAAAATTATGTATTTTGTGAACTTTTATGAGGAAACAAATGATCTAAAATATTTTTAATGCTATAATATATTATACTGAAATGTTTGATTAGTAAATTCAATTCATACTATGATATTGTTTCAAACAAATCTTTGTCAACCAGCACACAATTCATTTGAGTCATTATGTTTGACAACAAACTAATTTATATATATAATCATTTGTGTTACACTGTACTGTAGAGTATTGCCCATAATATTATTCTTAACTCTTAACACAAATCTAATAACGAAAAGTTTTAAAAATCTACTCTCTTTTCTAAATATAATAAAATGTCTTAAAATCAAATCTAGAAACAAACTCTTTTCTAGCTTTCAAATTATATTTATATTCTTATAGTAAATATTTTTTGACATTTTGCAAGTGAT